TATCTTTCAGTAAACACTACGGCCGCCCCCGCCTTAATTAAAAGTTGGAAATGTCTACAGGAGAACCGGGCGAACAATGCGACCGTTTCCCCCGTCACTCACCCCGTGTCTCTCGCGAGGGCCGAGGGGACGGGGCGGCAGCGGCTCATCTCTCTCGCTGGTCCCTGGGGTGGGAACGGGGCGCAGCCGGGTAGCCTCGTTCGGCGCTCCGAGATGCAGGTTCACTCCTTCACATTTCCGTTGCATAGAACTTGTCTGTTGATTCTGAAAGTATTGGTTGCGAGGGCTTAAAGGCGTACGGGGGCTCCGACAGTCTCAGCATGTGGCACATGTGTTGGATTTCGGAGTTTTGGTTATGAAGTCTGGGAGCCGTGAGTACACCTACACGTAATACTCATAGGTCGATTTTCAAAGCTGTTCTCGATCGACATTTTCTATCATTTAAAGGTTGATTCGTACAGCTATAGTGAGAAGTTTCATTCTTTCCATCCATCTTTCTCTTTTTATCAATTGTCTTTAAAGAAGGACTTATTAATCTATTACCTTTTCTTATTCTGAGAGCTTATCCATGTTTTTTATTTAAATATTTGTCTTTGCGCTTAAAACATAAAAGGACACACAAAGGTATATCAGCTTTCCCACGGCCTAGAATATCTGTAAGAATTAATATCCTTGCAGGAATGTGCAACGGATCAGCTCACTGGAACCCGGATTTCTCGCTGGGAAATTTCTCGCTTATTGGCATCTGGTATTCTTAATTGCTGGATGTCATAGCTAAACAACGAAGAGGAAAGGGAACCAAAATATGTATTCGGTCATGTCATCTCAGAGTTTGGGAAATGAAATCGAAATTCAAACGTAGTCAGAGTTTGGGAAATGAAATTAAATTTTCGAAATAAAAACAGTCGGGTCAGTATTAACGTATTAAAATAATTTCCAAAATATGTATTTGATCATTCCATCTCAGAGTTTGGGAAATGAAATGAAATTTTCGAAATGAAAGTTGAGTCTGTCTGGATGTATTAATATAATTTTCAATCATTTTGGATGTGAGAGAGTACATTTCAAAAGCGACCTTTTTTATGTGTTGTCCGACGGAAATGACATGAATAAACTGTTTCTTTTTCTGCATATCTTATGGGTTATAGGTGGTACATAAGCTATTGTAAACGATCATAAATCCTATAAATTATTGCGTCTCAATGGGCTATCGTACCTTGAACGGGACACGCTATTTGGGAAAGATAGCTAAGAAGTCATATTTCGGAAAGAATGTTGAATGTCAAGTTTATTTCTTAGGAAATTCTCTCGCCCGATGAAATATTTCTCTCAGAGCCAAAAGCTACGTCGTAATGTTACTCGCAGACCAACCGGTCCAGCGGCTTCGAACCATAAGCGAAACTTCCGGCACAGTTCTCTCGGCTGATCACGGGGCTGGTCGGCCGAAAGCGCGGCAGTAAGACAATGGATTCGTTGGTCGGGAAGGGTCACCCGAACCTTACTTATCTGGCAACTTTCGGACTTCTTTGTTGCCCGACTAATATAAAGACGTGTTTTGTTCAGAATTCGCCCGACAAAATTGTGATTTTTTTTGAGTATTTGGGATGTGTTACGAAACATTCAGATATTACTTCTTTTCTATAGACCTACTTCACAAGTTGAATTTATTCTTCATCAGCGATTAAAAAAAAAAAAAAAAAAAATCATAACCAACATATTCGATATCTGTGAAGGTCTTAATGTCAGATTCAAAACTTGACAGAAAGAAATTAAAAATTCAATTATGAGGAGAATAATTATGACTAGTGTTTTTTATTTAAAAAACGAAAGGATTTTGATGCCAGTGACATAAGAGGCTATCGTTTTCGCGAGAAATGAGATGTACATACTTTCGTTTTTGTTTCTCTCTCCGTATATATATTATATATATATATATATATATATATATATATATATATATATATTATATTTGTGTGGTGTGTGGTGTGTTTGTGTGATGTATGTGTATGGTGTGTGTGTGTGTGTGTGTGTGTGTGTGTGTGTGTGTGTGTGTGTGTGTGTGTGTGTGTGTGTGTGTGTGTGTGCGTGTGTGTGTGTGTGTGTGTTTGTGTATACGTGTGTGTAGTGTATGTGTATGTATACGTGTAAGTGTGTGTGTGTGTGTTTGTGTATGTATACGTGTGTGTAGTGTATGTGTATGTATAAGTGTAAGTGTGTGTATGTGTGTATGTGTGCGTGTGTACACATGAATTGTCACTGTCGCCCTCATCTGACTGGACGCCATTTTTAAAGCACGTGTGATCCAGTTATGGGAGCGGACTCTTGCTAATGCAGGGCGCGCAATTGCAGCCAGCCTCACCGAGCGAGAATTGTATTCCTATTCAATGTTCTTGTTCAAAGGAACACCAAGATATTTCCGGAGTGAACCAATTTCACGATTTCGGAATTCACTGCGGAGATATTTCGTAATGCGGCGGTTACTCGCCTACCACCACACACACACGCACACGCACACGCACACGCACGCACACAACACACACACACACGCACACACACACACACACACACACACACACACACACACACACACACACACACACACACACACACACACACACACACACACACACACACACCACACACACACACACACACATATAAAG